ATCCGAAAACTTTTCTATTGACCAGCTTTGATTAAAAAATGACACTGACATAGTCCGTATACACTGGATTCGGAAGAGAGAAGAACGATCGGCAGCACTGTAAGCCCATCAGACGAAAAATAGTCATCTTTGGCTATCCGTTGGACACAAACGAGTGCCAACGAAGATGGAGTGGAAAGAAAGGGCTTAGGAATTTTAATCTGTCTTCTTTCTCACTGTTCTGTTAATGATAAGAAATAAGTGAACGAGTTTGTTTCAGACTCTGAGACTGCTGAAGGATCTGCTAAACTCAAGAGTGCTTCAGCCTGCATCGTTAGTCGACCGCACTCATGCGCAGCTTGAGAACGCGGAACCGATTAGACCAGTCAATGCACCGCCACGCTTCCCTTTGGTTAGAATTCTAGAATCTTGTAATTACAGAGGAATTGCATGTAGATTGCCAAGTAGTAAAATAGCAGTCGAGAGCTAAATCTCGCATAGTCAGGACTTCACAGGATTTGTTGGCTTTCCAAAGGAACGCATTAATGGAGAAATCTTTCAGAGTGCGCCAATGAACCATTTAAACTCGTTACTTTCTTTGCTTCCCAACGAATTTCGCAACAAACTGAACAACAGCGCGAAAGGCCTGTTCGGAGAGAATATAAGCGAGGGGATTGCGCGACGAATCGGTGAGGTGCTGTCGCCACCGCGGTCCGGCATCGATGCACAGGTGCCGCTCACCAGGAGCAATCTGGACTTCATCGTGCACAATGCAAATACTGCAGGCGTTATGCCACCGGCTTCATCGATCAGTTAAATTTATCACTGCATATTATCTGTAAACTAAGTTACTAACTTTGTGTACTCTTTGAGAGAATCTGTGTACGTGTATAGACCTGAGAACGACCACATCTGCGTCACGATAAGGAAAACTTGGGGCGAATAGCGCCTCGTGCATTGCGGTATTGTCGCAGTTTAGAGTAGTCCATAATTACAGCACAAAAGAAATCTGCACCTGGATCAGTAAAAAAAACTTCACTGCAACTAAATCTGAGGTTATGTAGGGGAAGAGCGGAAGACTTACAAAAGGAGGAAGGAAAGACTGCTTTGCAGGTAGGCTGGCCAGTGCCATCTTGGGCACGCATAACGCGGTGGGATATCTAGTGTGGTTTTGAGATTTTGTATGATATGCACGATCCAAGGAAAAGATCGTCTGAATTTTTCACTAGTAACGTTTTCATTTTGAGATCGACATAACAGATCAAATAAATGTGTACAAGTCGCATAATACATATTTGCATAAATGAAATGAAAAAAATGCGCACCAGGAGACCGGCGAGATTATGTTTGTGACAAAACTGTTGTGGACATATAACGTATCTTCGGTTTCTTCATTTTTGTGCGTTTTTGCTGCGCAGCGTTATAGCGCTGCCACAGCCAGCAAAAACGCATATTGTCGAAAGGCTGTTTGTGAGTGTGTGTGTTCGGAAAGCGAGTGCATTTTATCACCCACTTTCATCTCAGCAACCAGGAAAGCTGAGAGGCTGAAACTTTGGATATATGCTCCTACCCGTGTGTTATCCTTCCATTTTAAGACCTTTCTCCATACGCGCCTAGACCTCGCGTACGGGACCCCCAAAGG